AATGTGGGGAAGTGCATCCAGCTCTATGTTTTCATTTATGTTATTTGCTTGTTTGGCTAGGAGAATGTGAGAAAACGCATCTGTCAGGTGTAACGGGGGCCGAACTTCGGTGATGGAAAAACTCAGACAAGTTTCTTTTTTTAATATTAAATATTTATATTAAAACTTAACATAGGCTTTCTTGGTTAATTAAAAAGTAACATTACACTATTATTGTAGAAGGGAAAAGGGAATTCTGTAGTAGAATTATGTTCTATTGTAGAAGGGAAAAGGGAATTGGGAAAGCTGATTCTTCTACAATTAGAGTGTAGAAGAATCAGCTTTCCCAATGCATGATGTGTGTTACTAACTCGGCATTTCTCAGATTAAAACCATCTTTGTCTTGTGTGTCGATCTTTGTTTTGAATTATTCCATGCGCAGCAGAATTTTTAATTTGGAATTTAATTGGTAACAGATAATTATTGTTTAATTTTCTTTTAAATTCCGTATTTGTAATTTTATTTTCATGTGTATAGTTATAATTTTAGTATTTCACATGTTTCAATCATTAATGTGACATTCTTTATATTAATGCATATTAAGAATTAATATATTAAATATGTAACTTCAGAAATTGAGGTCATTATATTAAAATGCTGATTTTATATACATTTTTTGTAAAATTAGGCTTAACTGCTGAAAATGCGTGGGCCAGTGGTGACCTTCCACTTTTGGGGGGCTTGGTCCCGTTACGCACTGTTCTCTGTGTGCTGGTCCTCGAGGGGTTAAAAGTGCTTCAACAAGTAAAAGATTTCCTTCCTTATTCAAAATTATGAGGTGAAATTAGTCAAATAACGTAACATTTAGAATATCCAATAAAATGCTAATATATTTCACTTTTGAATTGAATTACAAACAGTTCAGCAATTTGAACTGTGCATTATAAAGTGAATTGAAGTCTGTTTGGAGTCCTTTGACATGGTGTCGTAGCACAGCAAAAACCTCCTGGGGTTTAAGATTTCAAAGTTGGCAGCTATAAATCCATCTCCATCTTAAAACTATGCCACGAGTATGGCACTGAAAGTCAACAGTGTGCAACATTAACATAAAAGCAGGAAACTTGTTGAATTTTATGTGAATTCTGACACTTTTGCAATAAGTAACAGGAAAATCATTCATTATCCTGAAATTGATGATCGTGGCGAAGTGATTATTGAATTGTCAAAGTCAGAACATGTCATTGACGGGTATAGTGCTAATAGCTGAAGCCAAAATATTTCATTAGGAAACTGACTTGAAAAATCTGAGTGCACATGTTCCAGAGGCTGGTTAACTATTTTCAAAAGTGCATGTATGAAGCAGTTAAAAATTTTGGGTGGAAAATCTTCAGCTGATACAAAGCACGTGAGCAGTTACAGATGAATTCATTAATACAGGGTTGCCATGCTACCTGGAAAACCGTAAAAAGTCGGGGAATTCGGAAATTGACCAAAAAATTCAGGGAAAAGCAGGAATTTAGTTTAGTCAAAATCTGGAAAGGGGAATTTCAGACACGATCCCGCAAAAAGGGAGTTTTGGCCGAGTCGGGGGGAGAATTTTTGGCGAATGGTGATCAGGTGGGTGGGGGAAGATGGCAAGAGCAATTTCGCAGCTCCAATTGTCTTTGAAAGGCAAATCAGTTTCCCGCAACTTTGGTTTCCAGTAACTCGGAATCGCTGGCGGTGCATGAACAAAGAAAGAGTTCTGATAAAACAAAAGGGTTAATCCTAGTATACGGTACCAGAGGTTGAATAAAAAAAATATGGTGTAAAGAAAAAAACTCTGGCAGAGTGGCCGTTCCATATAGAGGGAAAACAGGGGGCGGGAGATAGCAGCGAAGGGAAACCGGGGAAGTTTCGAAGGTCACGTTATCAGAAGGTTTAAAAATAATATCGTTAAAATTTTTAAACTCTAAAGGAAAAGAAAATATTTTTCGGGGGGGTAATTAATTCAGGATAGTTATTCAGGGGAAAAAAAAAAAGAATAGAAAAATCCGTTTTTTAAAATATTGAAAAATCCAAGAAAAAACGTTCTTTGATAAACGTTTCTTCTTGGATTTTCTCATAATCTAGAAAGGATTTCGAAGTTTTCTTTTGTCAAGAACGTTCTTCTTAACACGGTTTCTCAATTTCCGTACAATGCGGAGAGGGAAATTATGGCCCCCAGGTCATAGCCCATCCCTTGGCAAATTTTCCCTCCGTTTTAGCCAAGTAATAGCATTTAGTGTATGGAACCTTTCTTATTCATAGACGTTATTGGTTAGAATAATCTCCATGATGGTACAGCGGGATTGGCGACATGATGATGAGCAGTAAATAAGTCATTTTGTTCTTGGCGCATTTTCAACAATCGTGCGAAGGCTGTACCGATATAGTAGGATTTACCACAAAACCTTTCTTTTAATAAATACATTGTCATTTGAGTAAAATAAAAAAATAGAATCAGTCTCTAGGCTAACCATGTAATTATAACTATATCACTAAAATTCATTGATTATTCTATTCAATTTTAGTAATTATCTTTATTTTATTATCATATCATTTAATGGGGTTTCTTCCTTAAATTAATTTATCATTAGTAAAAATATTTCCAAATTTCAGAAATTTTCTCGGCATCATCCTGAAATTAATTCTAGCAGATGGAATCACAAAATTTAATGACATATTTTGCTTATGTATGCTGCGAAATAAATGTAAAAACCTCAATTTAGTAAAAAAAAATTAAATAGATTTCTTTCTTTCATTAGCTGCGAAGTCTGCAAAAAATGCTATTATTCCAGATTGGGAGATTCTAATCAATCTTCAGTGGAGAAAACACTCCTATTTAATTATATTTGTTTTCAATGTTAAGGTGCCTTTTAGAGACACCTCCACAAATAAATACCTAAAATCTAACCTAACTTTTAGATTGCGTGGATTATGAAACCGGATAGCATGTTGAACTGGTGATGATCATGAGTAATAATTAAATAAAACGAAAATTGTTATCTAATGTAGATATCTTAAATTTATTAAGTTTTTAAGTGGAAAAGTAAACAAAATTATCAAAAAAGTATACCAAGAAAATTAGAAAAATGCCTCTGGGTTATGAATATTAAGGAATTGGCTACAAGAAAGTATACCTAATTAATTACCTCTTAGCACAGCCAACGTACATTACGCGGATAGACTGGAATTTTCTCGAAACATATTTGGAAAACCTGGAAAAGTCAGGGAATTTCATTCTGCTGTTTGAGTGGCAACCTTGTTAATAGCAAAAGTTATGTCCAGAACAAATTTATAATGGTAACCAAACTAGTGTTTTCCGACAATTGGTGCTTCATAATACCCAAGTGACATCTGCAGAAAAGGATTCTACTGGTGTCAAAAGATTCCAAAGTGATGTTGTGATGTGCTGCAGGAAATACCCCTCAAGAATTTTAAAATATAAAGATTTTCTCCATTATCTGTCATACGAATAAAGCAGCATAAATGGCTAAAGCATTAAATAAATGACTAGTCTGAAAATTATTTCATACCAGAGGCTTTGCACTTTTTAGTAAAAAATAATATCTCTGTCTCATTCCTTCCGAGAAATTGTACATTCATTTATCCAGTGGATATTAAAATGCAGATATTAAGTTACTGTTTTAAGATCCGTGTTTAGTTTCCTGAACAGTGATAGCTTTATTTATTTTTTTTAATATTGTAACATAAAATTTGCTATGTTGAGCATTGCAAGCTTATGAGATGATGTGTATGGGAGAAAAAATCAATACATATTATTTTCAAATAGTGCAGTGAAACCACATGATTATTCTTTGTGGGCTAATTTTGTCCTCAGAGTAAGCTGTAGGAAATCCTGACTTCTGCTCATGTGTCTGATTCACTGATAAGGCTTTGTTTGTACATTTCAGCACCCACAGTTCTTGCCTTTAATCATATAATAATGCACCTAGCATAAAATCACTTACCTGCTAGAGACATTTTCCATTAATGTTTGGGCTAGCATGGTACAGAATAATAAGTAGGACTGTACATTCCATTTAGTCACTTGAAAGGCCAAATGTATGACACCTTTCTGTAAGATATCTTGCTGGGACCTTTCCTGTTTTCCTCCAACTGTTTGCAAACGAATATGGTTCCAGCACAATATAGTGCCAGCTCACTGCAGCAGTAATGCTAGGAATTACCGTAACCCTCCTTATGGCTCTCATTGGATAATACAGGTTGGTATGTCACTGTAATTGAAGAAAAATGGATATTGCTATGCTAAATTTGCATGGCCAAGTAAAAAAAATTCATTCTTCATTATGTTCGGAAATTCTCTAATGATTCTTTCATTTTCTCTAATGATAGAAACCATGTCATCATGCATGAATAATAAAGATATGATTTGTTTTTTAGTCTAGTGCAGAGGTTTCCAACCCTATGCCTGCGGGCACCATGGCTCCCGCCGATTGATTAACGTGTGCCCTGTGCTGTGCAATCACAGTAAAAATATTTCAGTTTTCTTTAAAATTCTTTGTGAAAGTTTCCTCAATTTTAATGAAATAGAAATTGCATCCAACAGAGATAACAACACAAAGCAATATGCGGTCGATCTCTCTTTTTTTTTTTTTTTTTTTTTTTTTTTTTATTTATGTTGCATGTATCTATTCAACTTTAAATTCACCTTGAAAAGGTTAATGGTGCCCGCCGTCCAACATATTTTCTAGAATGTGATCTTAGAGACACACATTCTTTAGGTTGGAGACCCCTTGTCTAGTGAATGCATTGACTTGTACATTTGTTGGATGTCAATCTGATAAGAAATCATGAACCTGAATTGTTTCTGAGTAATATATTGTCCACAATATGAGTCTTAATAACTAAGAACAAAAGATTCTGTGTTCATTATCTTAACACACATTGAACTTAAACTGTAGGAATAATAAAATTATATTTGGCCCTCTGTTCTAAAAAGGAATATATTTCCTAATTGTGTGTGTATTTTTTAAAAGAAATAGATATGACTAATGGTGAAGATTATGACAGTGAACCATCTGATTGTGAGAAAGAAAACATAGACTGTGATGAGATTAATAATGTGAAAGAAAAGAATCGCTTCCTGTTTACCATACACAGTATTAATGCATTGGGCAATGTAGAAGTAGAGCATTTTAAAAATGATGGACAGCAATTAAAAGTGGATCGTAAGTACATTCTTTGTTTTATGAAATTTTAATCTTATACCCATTATTATCTCAGTTTTGTTTCTGTGTGCATGAAAACATTTGAATTATTTTTTAAATTGTTATTGCAGGGAAAATGTATTTAGCAGTTGAGTTTGATGAGCGAATCAAAGAAAAATGTGTAGATGAAAAGGAATTGCTGGTAAGTGGAAAATAAAACAATGCAATGAATTTTACTCCCCTCCCCCCTTTTTTGACTTTATGCAAATTGAACTATGGATAATATGTTAGATTATACATGCAAGTTACGCTTAGAATACATCTTTTCCATATGTCTCTAAAATTTCTCCAAAAGCTCTGTACTGGAATCTAATATCCACTGTCTTTATAAGCCTTAAATATGGAGTTAAAGAATAAAATTTAAATTTTGTTGTACTACATTTTGCAGGAGGAAACAGGATTGTCATGCAGTACATTATGAGCAGTAGGTTGTTTTAACAACAATCTTTTATTGAAATGCCAGTAGTACTACCTAATGTAAATTTTCATGTTTCCACAATGCTAGTTTTTTACAAATTCTAATAGATTGCTAATATCCTCATGCAGTGTTTTATTTCGTTATTGCTGCTGTTACGTAGGTTAATGCAAATGTATTCTTTTAAATCCTGCATTAATGTTGTTTTAATTCCTATCTATCTATCTATCTATCTAATATCTATCTATCTAATCGATATCGAAGAGCCTTTACATTATCACCTTTCATAAGGGAAAAACATCTTTCTCTTATTAACAAGGAACTGACTTTTTGTGAAAAGCATTACAGCAAACGTAATGCTTTTCACAAAAAAAAAAAAAAAAAAAATGGAAAGTTATCTCTCTTTACTGCATTGTTTCATTTTATTTTGAAAATTACAATGCATGTAATCATAATTCTACAACAAAGGTTTTTGTTCATGCAGAGTATCACAAAAACTTTTAAATAACCTTAACTTATTTTAATTTAACACACATAAAAATTTGATGCTAATTTTCATATTGGTAAATTATATTTTAGAACCACCAATACAGGGGGAGTAATATTGCAGAAATTACAGTTCCACTGTTATTATCTTCATTTGCAATTTCTTATTTTACCAAACTGGAAGGCCCAGCAGTACTTCTAAATAAATTTTCCTAAAACTATATATATATATGTATAATATCACAAATTCTTTATATTTAAAAAAAATTGCTCCACGTATTTGCACAATATGCTGCTGAAAATTGATCATTATAGACAAAAAGTAAGAAATGTAAAACCAGTTTTACACAAAAACCCAAAAGAAGTGAAGTTCAATACAAATAAATTTCAAAATATCCTATAAATAAGCAAAATAAGAATTAAAGAAATGTGAAACGAAAACTTAAAAAAATTATAAAAACTTGAATAAAATACCAAAACCAGAAAAATATAAAAGAAGATAAATTCAATCAAATCTGATAAAATGTTATCCAGAAAAGGATACATCAAGACTCAATTGTGATCCCCCTTCCACTCGAAAACCACTGCATTTCTCTATTCAAAATTAGCTGATGAACTATTCTAAATTATTTAATTAAATAATTAACAGTTCTTCTGAAAATTTTTAAGTCCTCTGTGATGCTGGGTAAAAATGCAGTAAAAAGCAAAATAATTAAATTCAACATTTTTTACTGCATTTAAAATTTAGATTACTGATTCCAGGAATTCAAGTAAAAATCTCAGTGTTCTCTAATTCATTGGCCAGAGTTTGTATATTTATAATTAGGATCATAAAATTAGAGCCTCTTATATATGGAGGGTAAAAGGAACAATTATGCAGATGTAATAATAAACTTCTGTTTCAGAAAAAATACTCTCTCGACATATTCTATAAACATCCAATCGCATATAAATTTTAACATGCTTTTACCATAATTTCATATTATTTATCTCTATTAATTTCACTTGGCATTTTCCTCCTGTGTTCTAAAAATAGTAAACATTTTTCTTCATTCTTCTTCAATTCTGCATCATTTCTAGGTCAGTCTATCTTGTACGACTTACGTCTTGCTTAATGCTGATGGTGTAGCTAATTCAGAACTTGAACTCAAAATTTCAGTAACTGAAACTTTCTCTTAATAAGTGACTTAAACTGAAACCCTCTCTTAGTGAGCCTCCTTGTTATATAACCACCCACTTTTGCTTCAGCTCTCTTTCCGTTAACATACTAGTTCGCTCACTTCTCTGCCACCTATTGTCAGTTGTTCTAAAAATATAATCTGTATAAAATTGTTGGGTGTATAGTGCACCTACAAAGATGAATGAAAGGAAGAAAGAATGTGTTCTCAGAATTAATCGTCCGGGAATCATTCTACCAAGTTCTACCTCCGATTCTGAGAGGCTGTTAATGCTTGCTCGCCGTGTGAATTGGACACGTCGGAAGAACCCGTTGAATCTGCTCTTGTTAACAGGGCTTATAACACAGAGAACCATCACCAGGCTGTTGCAGCTTTCTCTATGGTCATCCTATTATACATAAAAATTGCCCACACACCACATGGCATGGGAAAAAAAAGTCTGCTTGCGATAATAAACAAACAGAAAGAAAGCAGCCACTCTACAGATAAGTTCACTGGTGAGATCACAACTAGTTTTTAAAAATTGGTCTGAAGGCATGAAAATTATGAAAGAGAAATTAATTATTCCACATCTCTAGCTACTTTTTTCGAACACTCACACAAGTTATTTGATCTTAGATTGAACTGAAATGCGTAATTTTCAAATTTACCGTGACAAAATAAATGCTGTAATATATTTAATTTGTAAAGAAGGAAGACTTTGAATTTAGTCTGTGATTAATAAAAAGAGAGAATTTTTATGATATGCCTAGTATTACAAGATAAAATGAGTTCTTCCCACTTAAATTATAATTTATTGGCCGAGAGAGTCTTTCATCATTCTTTTCAGAAATAATGTATTTTTCATGCAAATTATAGATTCCTCCCCATCCCTCGATCTTTAAAAATACATATATGGATTGAACTGTATTTTAGCTAGAGATATCTAACGTAGCGGATTGTAATTGATGTGAGGTAGTTGTAAAAATTGTAGTTGCTAATACATATTTACTTTTTTGTACAAAGTTAAAGAAGTATTGTAATGGCAAAAAATTTCAAGTGTCATATTTCAACGAAAACATCTATTTTTACTGCTTTTGAATTCATCCGAGAGATGCTTATGCGTGATATCTGTATATACAGGCAGAATAACGGAATTTTTTCCTAAGCGGATTGTAAAATGTAATTATAAGAGATTTTTTTTTTTCATGATGTACATACGTATCTTGCATAACTCAAAAATGAGTAGCCTCAAAACTTTGAAATTTTGTGCATAAGACTACTACAATGTATAGTTGTGACCTCCCTTTTTGGTTGCAGTCGGCTGCACCAAAAGTACACATGTATATGTACGTTCATTCTGTTACCCGGCTCGGTAAACTTTTTTTTTATTCCTATAGGTTGGTAACATATGCATTTGTTGCTTTAAAAGTGATTGAATTATGTTCTTATAGTTCCGGTTAAGGTTTTTATGCCTCTACTTAATCTGCATGCAATAGTTGTAGAATCATCAACAATTTAAAAGTTGTTTCAGGGCTACTATGCTTAATGAAGCTGCCATTTGTTTAAATTTGAAACTCTTTAGTGGAATAGTGAATTAAGTCAGTTTCTGGCTCTTTTTGCCATGTGGAACCAAAAGTAAACTTTCAGTTTTGTGCACCGAAAAATCTGTCTTCTTGCCTGTTAGCCGGATTGCTTGTTTTTGCATAGAAATTCTAGTTTTAATTGTAAAAATTGTTTTTTTAACTGTTTTAAACTGTATTTGGTGTTTTTCTGTATTTTAAAATTTTTAATGAAGATGTTTTATGTATTTTTGCCTTGCCGCAAAATGAGAACTGAATTAATTGAATGAGAAATATGTCTGTAATGAAATTCAAGGAAATAAGTTTAAATGAAATGCAGCAAAATATGTTTATAATTTAATAGACTGTATAAGAAAGTCATGTACTGTCCACATCAGATTTTTTAATTAAATGATTAATGTTTTCGATACTGTAATGTTGTATTTGAAAGTATTAAAAAACCCCTCCCCCCTTTTTTTGAAACCCTGCTTATCAAAATTAAAGGATATTCAGAGAAATAAAACTTATAAAAAAATTTTTAAAAACAATTTGTACAAAACTTATTTGACATAGGATACTATATTTGCTAGCTGATTAATCTAAAAAAATTTATGGAAATTTTAAAATGATGGAAAAATTATCTTTCTATCATATCTCTTTAATATGGTCTATTGTTATTCTGATCTGAATTAATCAGATCTTGTGAAACTGCATGCCACTCTTCAAAGAGTGCAGTTTTCAAATCCTGGGTAGGCATTTGGCATGCTGCAATTCAGCGGCCTAAAGCATTCCACATATGCTCAATCAGATCAGGTCTGATCAGATGACAAATCCATTCAAACGACATCTGTTTTCAAAAATTCTAACTCCAGAGATGGTGTCGGATTGGTGCCGTATGGCATAGTCATCCATTAGCCAAAATTCTGGAACAGTGTTTCTCAACCACCTTATGTTGGGCTCCAGTATCCCATCCACATAGCTGTGATCCATTACAGAATTTTCATCAAAGATATATAGCTCAGTAAAGCCTTCTTAATAAAATCTATTTGAGCCTCTTTCATGAACAATGGTTGTGTGTTCCTCTTTCCCTCCATATAAAAACAGATCTAAAATCACAGTTTAGTCTGTATGCAGTTATCCACCTGCTTCCTCTCAGCTCCACCAAACATGAAGATTACACCATCTTAAATGTTCCTTTAAAAGATAAAATGAATGGGGCAAAAACTATTGATTTTTACTTCCTTGTATGAAGTAAAAAGGAAG